GAAAGAAACATTGTCTCGCTCTTCAAATGAAAACTTCAAAGAAAAAAAAAAGCCACTCTTTTTCTCCACTTTTCCTTTACCACCGATCCACCCAATCTCTTGACGTATCCCGTCCGGACGGTAAAACCTCCATTTCTCTCTCTTCACCTCTCCACCCATATCCATAATCTACCTATTGTGAAAGGTTTACTTGAGAGAGAAAGAGAGAGACTATGAGTCTGTGTTGAGAGAAAGACCTACTCTCTCACACTTCTCCATCCAAGTTCATGTATACTGCTTTCCTAGATCTGTAGTTGAGAGGAATTGATATCTTTGTTTGATGGGTGTGAGTGGGTTTGGCGCCTTGGGAGGTTTCTTAGATCTGGATATGGTATACTGGTGCAGGTGAGAGATAGCGCCTGGAAAATGGGGGGTTTTGGCGGCGGCGGTAAGGAGAGGGGTTGTGTAAGTCGGGATGTATGGTGGGCTTTGGTTGTTTGGCCTTTTGTTCTCTTTTCTTAAAAAAAAAAATTATAATGAATTTATAAATAAGGGTCTAAGACCATCTTCAAAAGAAATGTTAAATATGTCAAATAGGATTAAAAGATATTCAAGTGTTCTTCAATAGATATATCATATATGATATGACATGTGAGTCATTTGACTTTTTGCTTTCTAGCTGCCTTTTTTAACAGCAAATAAAGAAGGAGTCAAATATATTTAATATTTTTTTTAATGCATGAATCTCATTAACAACCAATATAATACAAATTAAAACTAATTTTGATTATTTTTTAGTAGTTAATGTAATTCTAGGCACAATAAAATAATAAAATAAATATTTGACACATCCATTGTAAAATAAGAAGATTTAACACTTGTATTCAATTTGCCACATCAGCCATCAAATAAAATTTTAACATACTATATTTGACATATCTTTTGTAGATGCTCTAAAAGTCTTTTTATAAAAGAATAAATATGTAATTAACACTTCCACTAAAAAGTGAGTAGAAAAATAAGATAATGGGGTGGATTTAGCAGCATTTATTGTTTTTTATGAGTTTAGAATGTACCCATATATGATATATGAGTTGAATGCATTTTTTAGTCTCATGGATACATTTCTATGCAAAATGTACCCATATATATATATATATATGTATATATGTATGATTTTGCAATTCTTGTTTTGGATTCGTGTCTATGAGAATCCAATTATATGTAAACATTTTTTTTATGTGTTTAGAAGGTACTCGCTTGATTATTAGTAGATTAATGTTTTGTTGGTTTCAAATTTTACTATTTATTGTTTCTTTTATACTCTTTTAAGGGAATAGTTTATTATAAAGTTTGAAGTCCATAAATTAAGGAATTTCAAAAATAGATAGTTGACATGGAAATACATTAATATCAATATAATGAGATGTACAAAGTCAATGATTTTGATTAAAAAAAGAAAGAAAAAAAAAAGCTAACAAGGTTTCTGTCAAACACTATTGGTGACTAGGAATCACATCCAAAGTCATTTGACTAAAAAGATATTAGAGGCTTTGTGCGGTTAAATCACGTATAACCTTTTCATAGTCACATAAGCCTATTGATATCCACCTATTAGGAATACAATAGATCTCTAAATAACTCATAATTAATTGCAGGAAGTCTTCTACATTATTATTTTGAATGTTTCATATAACCTACTATTACAAAACTCTATTAACTTAATTAATATCCTTCTATCAAAATAATGATTATGTCTACTCAAATTCTTATAGGTGCACCTTTTCTTTTCTAACTCAAATCAACTTGTGTTTGGGCTAAAGATGGGTCACAAGATAAAAAACATTAACAAGAGGATTAGTGAGGTTGCATCTCGTAGACCCAGTGACTTAAAAGACAACCATGAAGATACACGATTTATAAAGAGAGAGAGGGTCACTCACTCATTTGTCCCTGAGGAAAATATTGTAGGGAGGGATGAAGATACTAAGGCTATTATCCAACTTTTGTTGGATCCTATCTCAACTAAGAATGTGTCAACCATTTCCATAGTTGGAATTGGGGGATTGGGGAAAACTGCACTTGCCCAACTCATATTCAACAATAAGGTGATTCAAAATCATTTTGAGTTGAAAATATGGACATGCGTCTCTAATGCATTTGAGTTGGATATAGTTGTTAAGAAAATCCTTCAATCCAAAAATCATGACGAGATTGAGCAGTTGCAAAAAGATCTTAGGAAAAAAGTAGCTAGGAAGAAGTACCTACTTGTGTTGGATGATGTGTGGAATGAGGATCGAGAGAAGTGGCTTAGCTTGAAGAACTTGTTAATGGGTGGTGGAGAAGGTAGTAGAATACTAATAACCACTCGTAGTAAAACCGTTGCGACGATATCAGACACAGCTAAATCATACACCTTAAAGGGTTTGAATGAAGAGCAAAGTTGGTCTTTATTTAAGAAAATGGCTTATAAAGATGGAAAGGAGACAGAGAATTCAACAATTAAGGCAGTTGCGAAAGAGGTTGCAAGAAAATGTCAGGGAGTTCCACTTGCTATAAGGACGATAGGTGGGATGTTGTTTGCCAAAGATGACGAAAGTGATTGGTTGAATTTCAAAGAAAAGGAACTTTCAAAAATAAGTCAAGAAGAAAATGATATTTTACCAACACTTAAATTGAGTTATGATGTGCTCCCATCACATTTGAAGCATTGTTTTGCTTATTGTAGCTTGTTCCCACCTGATTATAAGATCTTTGTGCAGAGATTGATTAGACTTTGGGTGGCGCAAGGGTTCATTAAGTCATCCGATGAAAACAAGGGTTTGGAGGATGTTGCGTATGAATATTACAGGGAGTTGTTGTGGAGATCGTTTTTTCAAGAAGAAGAAAAAGATGAGTTTGGTATAATAAGAAGTTGTAAAATGCATGATCTCATGAATGAACTTGCAATCTTAGTGTCGGGGATTGGAAGCGTCGTAGTTGAACCAGACCAAAAGAATTTTCATGAAAAGCTTCGTCATGTATCTTTCAATTTTCAAGTCGATCCGTCAGAATGGGAAGTGCCAACTTCGTTGCCAAAAGCAAAAAAGATACGAACTTTTCTTTTTCTTTGCCAGAATGAGTTGAGTGATATAGATGGGTCATTATGTGATTCATTTTGTGCTATAATTGTTTCAAATTTTAAGTCATTGCGTATATTGAGTCTCAGTAAATTAGGAATTAAAGGAGTACCTAAATGTCTTAGAAAAATGAAATATTTGAGATATCTTGATCTTAGTCGTAATTCTGGCATCAATAAACTTCCAGGTTGGATAGTTGGACTTTCGAATTTGGAAACACTAGATCTCAGTTGGTGTCAGAGTCTTGTGGAATTGCCTAGAGACATTAAAAAAATGTTCAACTTAAGGCATCTCATCTTGGAAGGCTGTTGGGGATTGAGTGGAATGCCACGTGGAATTGGTGAATTGAAAGGTGTTCGTACATTGAATAGATTTGTTTTGAGCGAAAGCAATTGTTTGGGGAGGGGCGGTAGTGCTGGTCTTGCTGAGCTGGGGACCCTTAACGAATTAAGGGGAAAATTAGTCATAAGCAATTTGAGGCAGGAGAAAGATGTGGTGTCAGAATCAAATGTTGGTACACCTCTCAAGGACAAACAGCATCTCCATTCGTTGGATTTATCCTGGAAACTTGGAGAAGATGTAAGCGCAGTTGATGAGGAGGATATTATAAAGTCAATGGAAGTATTGCAACCCCATTCTAATCTAAAGCAGTTGTCCATAAACTTATATGGTGGTGTGAGGTTTGCGAGTTGGGTTTCTTCTCTCATTAATATTGTTAATCTCAGATTGAATGGATGTGAGAGATGCCAACATCTTCCACCCTTGGATCATTTGCCTTCCCTTAAGTCCCTTGAACTTCGATGTTTGGAGAAGTTGGAGTACATATCAGAGAAAGAGAGCAGTAATAGTATGAGTGATGAGATGATGAGGATCTCACTCTTTCCCTCCCTGGAGCAGCTCTCCATAGCACATTGCCCTGTTCTGAAGGGATGGTGGAGGGCGCACACTCAAAACAGTGCTTCTTCTTCTTCATCAACGGAAAATATGTCGTTCCCTTCTTTTCCCTGTCTTTCTACGTTGTATATCAACTGGTGTCCTAATCTAACTTCACTGCCAGAAGGGACTCGTGCACTCCCCTGTCTTTCTACATTGCACATTCTTTGTTGCCCCATTTTAAGCGCAAGGTGCCGGAAAGAAACAGGTGAGGACTGGCCTAAGATTGCACACATCCCACACATTGACATTCGTTAAGGTGCGTTTTCTAACTTATTTCAATTTACACTAGCCTAATTCAGTATAAACTCTGAAATACATGCCAATCTCGTTTCTTACTTTCAATTCTTCATTCATTGTCACCAGCATTTTATTTTTCTTTTCAGATGACATACCATATGGATCAAAGATTTCGTCGTCCACACTTTTGCTTTCTCACCCACCAACTTCAATTATTCTTTTTTAGTCTCTTTAATTTCCTTATTTTCAATTATATGGGGCGTCAACCTTTTGGATTCAATATGTGATGCCCATGTTGATTGCTTAGAGTGGTTGTATATGATTTTGCTTTTTTATCATTGGGGTTTAAGTATTATGTCCCTCCCGTTGTATGTCTTTTTTTTCAAGTAATATATTATGGGCGTGAGGGCCTAGCCCCCCAGCTTCGACTAGCTGGGTTCCAGCCCTCTTTTTATGTAATCCTCAAACCCGGGACTGTTGCAGAATCCCAAAGCCACGCTTGAAATGTCTGAAGTTGTTCCATGAGTGCATTAGCTTCTTTCCACTCATCTCAGCTTTAAATGTGGCTTTTTCAGCAGCCCAGATAGCATCATCCACCTAAAAACATTGCAAAAGACGAATGTTTTAGCTCCTAAATCCAAACAGCAAAAGAAAAAACACAGAAAATTAAGTAAACAGAATGCAACTTAACTTGCACAGCTTGCTTCTCAAATTGACTAAATGTTGTTAGAATGTCGTAGCTGTGCAGCAAATTCATCAGGTAATTTCTGTTGCAAATGATTTTCTATTAAATGAATTCATTTTGTGTTCAAATTCTAAGAAAATAATAATAAGAAAAATACCATGAATTTTATTTTGGGAAGCTGCTTTTAGCTTAGTAGCTCCATTTGAGAATGCAAATATGGCATATACCGGTCGAGGGTTTGACCCAAAGGAAGTGAAAGCTTTTCAGACAGCTCAATATACCCTCCCGTGGTGAAAACATATCCTACAATGCAGCAAGAAATAGAGTAAAAGAAAACAGCATCTCTGGTGAAGTGAATTCGAACTTGGCATCCATTCCTCCATCATACTTGGAAGCAACCACATCCTGAAAATAAGTCCCCTGACGAACTTCCCATCCATCCACTGACTCCAGAGTCTTGAACTTTACAATTGTAAGTTTGCTCTTGCCACTCTTTCCTGCTCGTAATTGCGCCATTTTGTTGTTATAGTCCTGCAATGCAAACAGTCAAAAGCTTCACATAAGCGACTCTCGAAGGGTAAAATTCAAATCCAACATTGAACAAACCCAAGAACTTAAAAGACATCAAAACCGAAACAGATTACTAAATGTAAAAAAGGAGCATTTCAAGGATATGGCAATAACGACCACACCTGAAATGCTTTGGTAAGATTGTAGACCCCTCCTTGATCAGCCCTATAGAGGTCTCCGCTGATTATAGAGAGTGCAGTAGCACAATAGATAATCTTGTTACCGCCCTGTACTGCGGTGTACAGGGTAACAGGATCACCCACATCCCCAGTCAACGGCAAGAGAAAACAACAAAAAATATCTTGCAAACCCATGATTTATCGGTAAAGCACATCAGAACCAAACAGTCAAGAAAATAATTTAAAACCAATTCTATATTTCTAATCAGAACATGCAAATTTTTTTTATTCGTCTTCAATTTGTGGCTCTTCATTCTCAATAAAGAGCATTTCACAAAATTCCAGATCTGCTACACTGTCAAAGGACAGACCGAATAGGGAAACGACATCATTCATTATCTAGATTGAAACAACAATCCCACTAAAATTGACTACTCATAAGAATCTCATTCTACAAAACTTCTTCAGTCCAGGCCTAAACAACTGCAACAACAACAACAACAACAACAAAGCCTTTTCCCACTAAGTGGGGTCGGCTATATGAATCCTAGAACGCCATTGCGCTCGGTTTTGTGTCATGTCCTCCGTTAGATCTAAGTACTCTAAGTCTTTTCTTAGAGTCTCTTCCAAAATTTTCCTAGGTCTTCCTCTACCCCTTTGGCCCTGAACCTCTGTCCCGTAGTCACATCTTCGAACCGGAGCGTCAGTCGGCCTTCTTTGCACATGTCCAAATCACCGGAGCCGATTTTCTCTCATCTTTCCTACAATTTCGGCTACTCCTACTTTACCTCGGATATCCTCATTCCCAATCTTATCCTTTCTCGTGTGCCCACACATCCCACGAAGCATCCTCATCTCCGCTACACCCATTTTGTGTACGTGTTGATGCTTCACCGCCCAACATTCTGTGCCATACAACATCGCTGGCCTTATTGCCATCCTATAAAATTTTCCCTTGAGCTTCAGTGGCCTACGACGGTCACACAACACGCTGGATGCACTCTTACACTTAATCCATCCAGCTCGTATTCTATGGTTGAGATCTCCATCTAATTCTCCGTTCTCTTGCAAGATAGATCCTAGGTAGCGAAAACGGTCGCTTTTTGTGATCTTCGCTAGATTGCTCCGGTCATTAGTGTGGATAAATATATAAATGGATAGAGATAGGAAAGCAAACACAAGATGTACGTGGTTCACCCAGATTGGCTACGTCCACGGAATAGAAGAGTTCTCATTAATTGTGAAGGGTTTACACAAGTACATAGGTTCAAGCTCTCCTTTAGTGAGTACAAGTGAATGATTTAGTACAAATGACATTAGGAAATATTGTGTGAGAATGATCTCGTAATCACGAAACTTCTAAGTATCGGAGTATGGTGTTGTCTTGACTTGCCTTATCTGTCTCATAGGTAGATGTGGCATCTTCTCTGGAAGTACTCTTCCTCCATCCAGGGGTGGTATCTTTAACTGGTGGAGATGCACAAGGTAATGTATCAATTTCACTTGAAGCTTACTTGTAGTTTCAGGCTTGGTCAAGCGCGATACAAACCATGTAGTAGGAGTCCCCCAAGTCGCCGAGCTAAGGAGTCTGCTGAAAGAGGTGACAGACAAGGTAAGCAATCAGAGCTCCGATTGATTGTTCACCTTCTCCCCATCTTGCAGCAGCATGAAGGATAAAGAGAAGAAAAATGAGAAGAGATGATATGAGATACTTTTGCTTTTGAAGAAGTAACTTTCCACAGGCTTATTCTTGAACTGAGCTGGAGGGTTTTCTGGTTTCCTCCAGAGTATAAGGCCGACTGAAGAATTTGAGGGTCAAAACAAGTCCATCAAATCTAGAGTACGTTCCACCCTGCTGATATGGGATACTTTTGCTTTTGACAGAGTAATGGATGTATCGGCACGTGTGCTGTTACGCTTGTCTCCACATGCTTCCTTATATCCTTCGCACTTGCCCTATCTGTTCCTCAAGCAGATGCGGAATCTTCCCTGGAAACATAAGATGTTGAAGATGAGTACTCGAGAGCAATGCCAGGTAAGTAATCAGGTAAGGGGTTCCAGGCAGTCAGTTCCTGGCTGGAAGCTTGATTCCAAGTGCTGACTGATTGCTCTCTTTCTCCTTGTCTTGCAGGTAAAAACAAGGCCAAAGGAAAAGATAGGGAAAAAGCATGATATGGGATACTCTTGCTTTTAACCCTGATGATATGAGATATTCTTGCTCTAGTATAGCTTGTTTGTAGAGGTATTATCGGGGGGAAAGAAAGCTGAATATTTCGAAAGGCTTCGTTGGGAGTGTCCTCTCAGATATGATGAAGGGTTGAGCATTTTTGCAGGTCTGCCTGTCCGTTGGGGATGGGGGTCGACATATATAGGAGTCTTCCTAACAACAAGTAGTAATGCTATTCATTTACCCTGTTTGGTCATAGCACGGTAGTGGGAGCTGCCAGTTTCACATGTTTTAACTCTGTCAGAGCACTTTTGAAAAAATGGTCTGTGGTATCTGGCTCTCGAGATTCGGAGAACGATGCCCTCTTCGATTTTTGAGAAAGCAATCATGCTGGGGGTCTGGCTCTCGAGATTCGGAGAGCAGTGTCTCTTCGATTTTTGAGGAAGTAATCATGTTGGGAGTCTGGCTCTCGAGATTCGGAGGGCGGTGCCTCTTCGATTTTGGAGCAAGCAATCTTGTTGGGAGTGTTTTCTCGAATGTGAGTAAAGGTTGGGCATGTTTGCTAGTCTACCTTGCCACGAAGCACAAAGGTTGACACACAGGGACTTTCCAATTATCCAGCAATGGTACTGTTATTTTACCCTCTCTTCGATTTTGAGAAAGTAGTCATGTTGGGAGTCTGGCTCTCAAGATTCGGAGGACGGTGCCTCTACGATTTTGGAGCAAGCAATCTTGTTGGGAGTGTTTTCTCGAATGTGAGTAAAGGTTGGGCATGTTTGCTAGTCTACCTTGCCACGAAGCACAGAGGTTGACACACAGGGACTTTCCAATTATCCAGCAGTGGTACTGTTCCTTTACACTTGTGGGTAATAATATGGTAGCTAGACCTTCAAAATTTATGTGTCTAAACTTTGTTAGTGCTGTTTCTTTGCTATTCTTTTACCTTTCTTGGTCAGAGCGATGTAGTGGGAGCTGCAAGCTTCACGTGCTCAACTTTGGCAGAGAACTTTAGCAAAGTTATCTGTGGTACCCATGAGCTATTACTGCGTGTGGGAAGTGGGTGATTTAACAGTAAGATTCATGTGCTTTCTACTTCACCAGAAGTCTTCGACAGAATGCCCATAATTTCTGCAAAGCTGAGTGTGCGTGTGACAGATGCTGACAAGGCTAGAAAAGTAGGTGCCTCTTCGATTTCTGAGATCGGCCCTCGTGGTCTATGAGCAGCCCAGCTTTTGAGAAAGCGAGCGCCTCTTCGATTGATTCGGAGAACGATGCCTCATCGATTTTGAGAAAGCAATCATGCTGGGGGTCTGGCTCTCGAAGATTCGGGGAGCAATGTCTCTTCGATTTTTGAGAAAGTAATCATGTTGGGAGTCTGGCTCTCGAGATTCGGAGGGCGGTGCCTCTTCGATTTTGGAGCAAGCAATCTTGTTGGGAGTGTTTGCTCGAATGTGAGTAAAGGTTGGGCATGTTTGCTAGTCCACCTTGCCACGAAGCACAGAGGTTGACACACAGGGACTTTCCAATTATCCAGCAATGGTACTGTTCCTTTACCCTCTCTTCGATTTTTAAGAAAGTAGTCATGTTGGGAGTTTAGTTCTCGAGATTCGGAGGACGGTGCCTCTTCGATTTTGGAGCAAGCAATCTTATTGGGAGTGTTTTCTCGAATGTGAGTAAAGGTTGGGCATGTTTGCTAGTCTATCTTGCCGCGAAGCACAGAGGTTGACACACAGGGACTTTCCAATTATCCAGCAGTGGTACTGTTCCTTTACCCTTGTGGGTAATAATATGGTAGCTAGACCTTCAAAATTTATGGGTCTAAACTTTGTTAGTGCTGTTTCTTTGCTATTCTTTTACCCTTCTTGGTCAGAGCGATGTAGTGGGAGCTGCAAGCTTCACGTGCTCAACTTTGGCAGAGAACTTTGGCAAAGTTATCTGCGGTACCCATGAGCTATTGTTGCGTGTGGGAAGTGGGTGATTGAACAGTAAGATTCATGTGTTTTCTACCTTCCCCAGAAGTCTTCGACAGAATGCCCATAATTTCCGCAAAGCTGAGTGTGCGTGTGACAGGTGCTGACAAGGTTGGAAAAGTAGGTGCCTTTTCGATTACTGAGATCGGCCCTCGTGGTCTCTGGGAGCCCAGCTTTTGAGAAAGCGAGCGCCTCTTCGATTTCTGAGATCGGCCCCGTGAGTCTTTGAAGTTGAGAAAGCAACGCCTCTTCGATTTCTGAGATCGGCTTTCGTGGTCTTTGAGCAGCCCCAACTTTTGAGAAAGCAAACGCCTGTTCGATTTCTGAGATTCTCTTTGATTCTCAAAGCCAGCCTGAGCTTTCGAATCAAAGAAAAGCGCCTCTTCGATTTCTGAGCAGGCGCCTCTTCGATATCTGAAGCTCCGTCGAGTGCAGATTTTTATAGGGGCTAAATCAAGCATTAAGTTCCAAAGCACACTTGAATCTCCACCAGTAGAAGCTTCATTCTTGCACTTCTAAGATCTTGATTTGTCCGACCTCTTCTCTCTTCAACACCTTTGAAAATGTCTGGCCCCTCTGACCGTCGTTTTGACTTGAACCTTGTTGAAGAGGCAGCCCCGCCTTCTCCAGACAACATATGGCGCCCATCCTTCGTCTCCCCTACTGGTCCTCTTACCGTTGGGGATTCCGTGATGAAGAATGATATGACCGCTGCGGTGGTGGCCAGGAACCTTCTCACTCCCAAAGATAACAGACTACTTTCCAAACGGTCTGATGAGTTAGCTGTTAAGGATTCGCTGGCTCTTAGTGTTCAGTGTGCAGGTTCTGTGTCTAATATGGCCCAACGCCTATTTGCTCGAACCCGCCAAGTTGAATCATTGGCGGCTGAAGTGATGAGTCTCAAACAGGAGATTAGGGGGCTCAAGCATGAGAATAAACAGTTGCACCGGCTCGCACATGACTATGCTACAAACATGAAGAGGAAGCTTGACCAGATGAAGGAAACTGATGGTCAGGTTTTACTTGATCATCAGAGATTTGTGGGTTTGTTCCAAAGGCATTTATTGCCTTCGTCTTCTGGGGCTGTAGTGCGTAATGAAGCTCCAAATGATCAACCTCTGATGCCTC